ACTCACATTTTCCAATGAAAAAGTGTTTATATGATGAGCTGTGTGAAATTTGAAAATCCGACATCGTGCCGAAAAATGTGCCGCGTGAAAATTGAGATTCATAAATAACCATTACAAAATCATATGATTATTAAATTTTATTTGCCACAGAAAATTTTTCATATATTCCAGACGTGCGTATTAAAATTACACAATGCACTGTATAACTATTTGATGATAACGCATGATCAAGTTATCAAGCGTAAGAAAATAGCAAGGCGGATGTAACAAATAAATAATTATGATACGAGTATCGGAGATCAGAATTTTCTCTCTCTCTCTCTCTCTCTCTCTCCGGATATTCGAATAGCCATTTTCGCGCCTTTTGCTGCTCGACGCTGAATTTCGGCCGGTCTTTCCGTGGCCCTCTTAGGTGGCATTCTCGCAATTTTCTCTATAGACTATATATATATATATATATATATATATCCGCAATTACTTTGATGGCAAGGAAAGCTTTTAACGTGGCGCACCGTGACGACCGTCGACGAACGAATCAAAGCTAACATGTACGAAGCTACTATCCATGTTGAGAAGGGAAGCCGAAGTAATACCTCGGACGTGGACGTAACGTAATGTATCGCCGCAGGAACAAGCGTGTTACAATGGTAACGCGTTCTGTCACGGTACGTGATATATTACACGGTGATGTGGACTATACAGAAACGCCTATGTGTATAGTTGTCGGAAAGTAATGGAAAGTCCGGGATATGAAATCAGCGTAATTTTTATATTTTTCCACACACATGCATATATATATATATATATATATATATATATAAAATTTAATATACATGTATATTTACATGCTTGATCCGATGCTGACGAAACAAATTATAAAGGCTAGTTCGCAAAAAAAATCGCTAACAGTATTTGATGAATTAATATTTTACAGCGACACATTAAAATTATTTGTGTTACATGTAAAAAAGAAATAATAGGCAAACCGAATTATTTGAAAAAATCGAACCGCAATAAAGAAGAATGTTTTGAATAACCCCAAGGAATAAAAATTAATAAAAAAATGAAAAGTGACATATTTACCTTGTTAACATATTACTTTTTAACATATTCACCTTGTCAAAGTAACACGAAAATTTGGGCGGACCGTTTGTAATATAAAATTTTCTACTGTATACACAGTAAAGAAACATTTTGTATTCGTGTTAAAATCGATCCTTGTTAAAAATTTTGAATAAATTTTTAACATACTCGTATGTTAATTTAATATATTGGTGTTTACGTTATCTCAACCTTTTTTGTTGCGTCGATATTCAACATGTATAAATATTAAAATAACATATACTTCAATGTCGACTAATGTATTAATTTTGTGTTCATTTTAAACATATTTGTGTTACTTTTCAACATATTCACTTTGTGTTAAATTAACGCAAAAATTTAAATAGACTGTTTGGGATATGTGAAATATATTTGAAATTTGACACCAAATTTTTTATTGTATAGATAAAGAGCGAATTTCGCCTAAGAACTCTGAAAACTGACGTACCGCCATAATATAACGCAATATAAAATCAAAATTATTTAGCCCTTTCAACATTAGAAGCATTACAGTTCCGTGAAGTACATGAGTGTCAGGTTCTCGATTATTGTTATGTTAGGTTTCTTAAAGATTCCAAATATTATTAATATAACTTTGTAGAAAGAGAAGTTTCATTATATTTAACTTTCCGCAAAGGCCTCCAAAATAAAAAAAAAGTTAAATCTGCAAAGTTTAAACAATCGATGTTTATGGATTTCTATCCACATTTGCAGATAGAAACTGCCACGTGAAAACGTGTAGTTGATAGTAGCAATTACGAATCGCGTGATTTGTGGCCATAACTCGTCGCGACGGCGGCGTCGTGACGCTCCCAGGTTACCTGCAGGTGGCCGGCACGAAGTTACCTTCGCCTTCAGCACGGCACTGCTTTTTGAATGACGGAATATTACATTGAGTTATATACATGCCGCTCAGAATTAGTGATGCATTCGTCCATACGGTAAACTCCATCAAACATCAAAACCTAGCAATTTAAAGTATAGTTCCCAACTTTGATTTGAAAAACGTTTTATTCGGACTTTCTGAGATATTCATGTAACATATAGGCAAGCAAGTTGCGCAGAAGCGAGTGAACTCTGATTTTAACTGTGAGAGGGATAAAAGAAACGCAGACGGAGAAAGAAGGTAAAAGAGGGGAGGAAAAGAGGGGCGGAAAATATATATATTATCAAAGATGTATATGTATAAATTTAATGATTCGTACGAATTTATATGAGTTAATTTGGCGGATTCAAATAAAACGTGCGGTAATTAACAGGAACTAGGAGCTGAAATTTTTTTCCATCCTCGATGGTAATTTTAGGCCCGATTAATTAAACGCGATTAGTGTCGCGACAATTCGTCTGTCAGGGAGCCGGCCATACACGTGGCGGATTTAGAAAGTCACGAACGGTCCCATGATCGCTAGGGCCGACATTTAATTTATTCACTACCGAACTCGTTTGGTCACTAATTGAAAAAAGTCTCACATTAACACAGTGAGCGAATCGCCGTTAATTTCTAATGACTCATTTGCAATAACGACCAAACAAATATAATAAATAATGCCAGGGCGCAGATACAAATTGTAAATGAGAAGCGATGACAGAATAAGAGAAAAAAAAGAAAGAGAGGGAAAAAGACAGATATCGAAATGCACAAATTTTCCACAATTTATTGACGGATAATCTGAGGAAAACGAGTCGACACACTTCGAAGAAACTGTCCGTAGATTCTACGAATGTGGTAGCAAATGTGAGCCGCGTTACAAATACAGACGATGATTATCAAGCTCCATTTGAAGGGGGAGACAATAATTATAATGATTATATTGGAGTTGGGTAGTCGTGGAATAAATTACAGGTTTCCTTGCTGCGTGTGGTCGACATAGAGAGAAAAAGAGAGAGAGAGAGAGAGAGAGAGAGAGAAAGAGAGTAGCACATAGGTTCGTTCGATAGATGTGTATCGCAGTGTTTCATGCGACAGAGAGCGCTATAACAACTGCCGGTGTCTGCAATTTCTTATCGCTAATATGCCTACCATACCTAATTCGATTTTTATACGCGACCCGCGACTATTTGCAAGCCATGAATTTGCTTCATAATAAAAGGCAGCCCTACGAATAACGTCAAGATCTCGCCGTAATCTTGCTTTTACGTTAAATCGCGACGAATGGTGGAAAGTAAACGATTGCAGAGCCCGAGTCAAAGTTAAAATCAAGTTAAGTTAAAATTTCAACTTCGACGTTTCTTCTTTTCTTCCTTCTTCTCTTCACATTTAAATGATAACACGAAAGTGCGTAAACATTTCCTTCTCGCCTCCTTTTTATATTTGATTTCACGCTTCTGTGTGTCCCTTCGCGCCTTCTATTTCGTCTTCCCCCTTTCCCTCATTCCGTCATGGAGGCAAGACCATGGCACTACACAGCCGCCTTCTTCACTTTTAATCTTCTTGCCCTTATCTTCCTTCGCATGCATATCCCTTTTCACACTTTCCTTGTTTCTGACACTCTGTCCTTCTCTCCCCTGTCCCCTTTCGTTTTTTGTATGAGGCACTGCGCGATACATACGATTCTCTTCTTGTCCTCCTTCTTATCCCTCTCTTCTTACGGTGGTGGTGAAGATTGTCGCGCGATTAGTGTAGGGCCCAGTGTCACGCGGAAGATGCATCGCCCTCGTACCTTGGACCGCATTATATGTACCCATGCTGTATGCATATCTACCGCTGGGCTCTATACGGGCACCGTTCATACACGCTGTAACGCTGTAAGTGTGTACAATCGACGGTCGCATCTGCTTGCACTTTGCGTCAAGCCACGGCACCTTGCATGCCATGCCGAAGAACCGAAGGTGTGTGACATGTACCGCGTAAACTGATGCGTCACGATGATGACGCGTGATACTTTTTTACGCGCAAATGATAATAGCGCAATTTATCCCTGTTATACGGCGTCTCCGACAACATCTGGTCTATAAATTTTACTATTTGATCTCATTTGCATTTGAAATATTCAATAGTACATGATTCCACATCTCTCTCTCTCTCTTTCTCTCTCTCTCTTGCTTTTTTGCTGTATCGCAGACCGCAAAAAATTCCAAATAACACACATAAAATGTAAAAATACCAACTGCAGGAGCATCGGTGTAATGCACCGAACTGGTGGACTTGACCAGCGGATGATTTATAGTGGCTCGTTACTCGAGCAGCTTTTTACTTTAATCATATTAATGAAGCATTTAATCTCGCCGCGTGTTTTACAAACCGCCGGGTGTGTGGACCTATCCCGATTCCGTTGTTGACGAGAATTTCTCAGTACACAGTACGCCTTTGTAGGCTTCCTTCTACTTTTTTCCTCTTTCCCTTCACCCTCTTCTCACTCTCTTCCTTTCGTTTCATCTCTCCGTTCCATCTCGTTGATTTCTTATTTTCTCTCTCTCTCCCTCTCTCTCTCTCTCTCTCTCCTACAGTGTCGGTTAATAACAGCGCTTCGTTCAGGTGCTGTTAACACCGCTATGATCTCACTTTTTATTATCATACTCAAAGGCAATAATATGCAGGTATAGAGGTTTATGATGGAGAAAATATAATTAATTATCGAGAGGGTTAAGTTATTGCAAATGGACCGGACTGCAAAACCAGAAGTAGGATTTTATAAAATATCATAACCCAGTATGACGACTTTTGAAGTTACGTATCTCGTTTAGTTAATAATGTACAGATAGTAAGATAGATTTGACTAATAAAGAATTGACCGATGAATTTTATTTTCACAGAAAAGTAGTGTAATAAAAGATGAGAAGTTATACACGTTTTAAAGCGTAATGTTACTATATTCTATCTTTGTTATTTCATTCGCTCGAACCATGCGAATGTTTAATAATGTTGCATAATAGATATATAGATATAGTAAATTGCTTACATTATACCAAGAAAGAAAGATGGACGGATGTGTTCCACGGAGCTTGGGGCGGTGCAACATCACTTACCTGAAACAATAAATAACATGTTGTTATATATAAATTGCATGTATTCTTATACATATAAGTAATGTACCGTTAATATGCGATACACTGTTTAATGATACATGTTTCTATACGAGGCTTTTTTATAACAACAGTGAGCTTCCAGCACTCATTATAGATAATGGTGATGTACATTTTACATTTACATTTACAGTAATCTTCGAATAAAATCTTCGAAATGAAATTCATTTCATCGTATTCTCTCTCTCTCTCTCTCTCTCTCTCTTTTTCTTTCACAAATTTTGAACATAATTCTTTTTATAAGAAATGACAACCTTGCCCTCTTCGAACGCATTGCCCCATAAGTCCTCTTTTTTATTTTAGATTTCATAAAAGTTGTAATAATTACTAAATTTAAGGTGATTAAAAATTATCAATCATATATACGGTGGAATACATAATTCGATCTTAAGGCTCCTGGGTAGTCGCTGCAACTGTTCTTATTTAACGTCAGAAACGATCATAAATGTCACTTTGTCTTGTCTTTTTATTTGAACGTAAAACGCAAGAATTCTTGACATATATTTTCTCGCTTCTGAGGTCATTAAACAAGGATAGTTGCAGCCAATACCCAGGAGCCTTAAGATCGTCTCAAGTGTACTCTTAGGTAATCCCAATATATTATCTAGCCAATAAAAAGACTGTAAAGTATTCTAAAATTATATTTAATATGATTTTACATAAAATGCGCCAGGTGGTTACGTACGTATTTGAATATCACCCGTATCAATGTGCTTGGACATCTGTACATAATGATTGTTCATTATTCGAGGAAATAGCAATATGTACGATAATATAATTATTATTTCTTTTTTTACGTGTGAATGTATGTTTTACATCGTAAACGCCACTATTATTAAATAACGTTTGCGACGTTGTTTTTGTTAATCTTGAATAATTAAAGTAATATATATGATGTATGAATATTCACACACTATGTTTTATTGAATAAGCTTAGTGGCTCTAAAGGCCAGTTTCGGAACTTCCGTTTAACTTAATTGATTATTCCACTGTAGTTGACCAATCGTATTTATTAAGCCGAATTGACCAAGAACATTAACCTAGAAATAACTTAGAAATAACCAATCACGATTGATATATAATCGGTCGCTTAAGTTAATTGGACGTTGTGAAACTGGCCCTGAATCTAGTAAATGTCAAAAAGGTTTGATGATATTTGGTGATATCTGAAGTTATCATATACGTGCAATTAGCGACAGAAGAATTGCAGCACATTACATTTCGATGAATGTAGAATAAATGAAAAATCACGCGTTAGGTTTCACGATTTTCATCCATTCCAAAATATATCGGGAGGAAATGTGTTACTTTTCTGCCGCTGATTATATATGATTAGATGTCACCTGTTTTGCTGTATCGTAAATAGCAATCAGTAACTTGTTTTCCACCAACTTATGTGCATTAAAAAAAATTGAAGTAATATATGCCGCATCATTGTTTTGACAATTATAATGAAGTACTTATCGTTACAATCGACAAGCGGCGTGGAAAACAACGGCGGAACAAATTGAGAAGATCGTGTTCGACGGTTGCAAGTTGTAACGGATAATCAAGAAATCGTGAAAATCATTTACCGGCCGAATCGAAACGTGTCCACCCAAATGCGCGCGCGGTAAGGTCACGTTTCTGGCAGATGACGTCGGTATTCGGAGCACGATTCAGCAGCGTCTTTACATTTTCATTGGATGATTCTCGGCACCCGCGCGTATACTTATATCAGTTTTACTCAACACGTGTGATGTCATCCACCGAACACTTCGCTAATTCCCCGAAAATTCACAGAATACACTGACAATGCGCACAATTAGAGCACTAGAGATGACAATCTCTCTCTCTCAGTTCGTAGTCACGCTCACTGATTTGAAGTTTCTGATGTGCTGTTTCACTTTGACGCGACTCAATCGGTAATTACGAACAACAATGCCAATTAGTGACGTAATCCAATTCGACGCAGTTCCCAGGAGGAAGATGTATGTAGAAAAGTAGAGAGAGAGAAAGAGGGACGGTGAGTGAGAAAAAGAGAGAGAGGGAGGACGGGGAGAAAGGGAGAGAAGAGAGGAGCGGCACGAGACAGAGTGGAGACACCACATAAACCTTCCTAACCGCAAGCCGTCACATAAATATAATAGGAAAGGTAAGGCCTCATGATGGTCGGTCGGCATTGCCCGCCGAACCGTCACGGACTCAGCACATCGTGTGGGAAGGGGGAATTTGTGCGGAGGTGGGGTGAGATGGGTGGATGTGTCAGAGGCAAAGTGGAGGTTGCGCGGGGGCGGTGGCGGCATCAGTGGTCGACTCCTCTCTCTCTCTCTCTACGCTGCGCAACACATGGCGGCGTGAAACATGGGGAAACGGCACGAATGATCGATGGGATTCTGCGCCGTTGCGGGCATGGAATGGATATACAGCCCCACCATTTTCGCCACTAGAATAAGCAGGGGAAGTCCCTCTCTCTCTCTATCTCTCTCTCGCTCTCACGCTCTCGGACATTGACGAGCGCGATACGCCGTCTGGTGGGCAGCGTGCACGTGGTATCCCCGTAAGAAGTTTCAAGCGAAAGTCCGTAGATGGCATGCTGGGCGCTGGCGCCAACAGCGCCATCCTTCAGCGAACCGCTGAACACTGTCAGTGCGGGGGAAAAAACTGGTCCGATTCGAAAGCCGATAAGTCGGCAGCGGGTAAGTCTTGCGGGCGTATCCGTGACGCGAGTCATATTATCACGTCATTTAAGGATTAAACGTCCGATAAAATGCGCAATCCACTCATAGGTAGATATATGGAATATTCGAACATTTTCAAAGAGAACGTACGGAGAGGTGGATAAGAGAAATGTATTCCCCCTCTCTCTCTCTTTCTCGTGAAATAAGGTCATATTGATAATTCTGTGCGAAGTCAGGTTAATCCGCCGCCTAGTAGAATTTCACAAATTTCAGCCGTTCGTGATTTAAAGCTGCCCTAATTTTTGCGCGTCACACACCCGACTCGCCTATACTCGTATCTTTACTCATATTTATAACTTATCTGCGTGAGTCTCTCGTTTATTATTAAAAAAAAACATTTGACCTACCATTGTGGTTTATATTTAACTCTGATTTTCACGACAACCCTACTCGGTCCAAAAGACGGACCGATATCTGCTCTGTTCGCAATACACGATAATTACTTATAAACATTCCGATTGCCGATAGCATCGTATCTATAATGAAATTCGACGAAACTCACATGGCACTTTTATCGATTGATAAATATTAATATGTTTATATACGGTCGGGGTGAGCATTCGTTCTTTTTGGATGCGTGTCACAGAGCTCGTCCACTTAATTGCCGCATTGTCAAATCATTCACGATCGGGCAGCGTGCATGCGTGAAGTAATGCAGCTACCTCCCAGCTAGTTGCTGCGGCTTAGGCGATTTGTTGAAACCTCAAGGTGAAATTTAGTTACGCGACACCTCGCGCGCACGTGCCCATAAACTGAGAACGCGTGAGGCATTCGTGAAATGCAACCGTCAGAGACCACCCATGTCCCGGGGACTCCCACCACGCGCCATCCGACGATACGGGGATTGTTTTCATGATCATGCGTATCGACGAAAATTCCTGAGAGTAAAAGTACACACGGAACCCGGTCGAGCGAGAAACGTGATGCGGTGAGAGAGAGAGAGAGAGAGCTATGAAATAAATCGATCGTTTCGCTCGACCACAAAGATCTACGAATCTTTTACGTTAAGAACGCAACATAATAGCAAATCATTTCCGATCGCTACCGGTAATTACCGATAATTATCAGCGGCGAGAGAAGACAAACAACACATGTATTAAAGATGAGCTCGTTACGTGTTCCCCTCGTGAGAAATCGGACACCGGTGAGGCTCGTGACGTTACAGGAAGTGTAATCGTTATATAATTAGTCACACTCGCGCGGTCGCTTCGCAGCGGGCTATCGCACCTCCACGAGGCATTGTGCGCTCTATATCACGGAAGCGGCGCAAAGCACGGTGAAGCAATTGATCAATATAGCGCCAACAATCCCTTGTAGCTACTCCTCCGAGCTTCTAAGCCCCGTTTGCCTTCTTCCCTCCGCCTTCTTTTCGTCCGAGTCCCAACGGCGCAGAGAGAGAACGCACCCCCATAACAAGTTTCTTACTCATCTTTTTCGTTCAATAACTCTCCATCCAAGATGGCCACCGCGGTCGTCCCTCATTGGCTAGGGGAAGGGGTGGTCGCAGGGGTCTGTACGGGGTTTGGGTGGTTGACCCGTGGCGGTGCGGTGCGGGGACGTATGAGGGGGTTGGAAGCAGTGACGCCATCTATCTTCCGTTGCCTTGGCTCGGCGTAACATAAGGCAAGATAAATTGCGGGATCTCCCGGGTTCTTGAACCTTTCTGGCAAATTGCATAAGAATATCCACCCTCTCCACCCCAGGCTGCCTCCTCGTCTCTGTCCTTCCCTCCTGACTGCCCTCGCGGCTCCAATGGAATTGGAATTAACTCGAATAAATCACCTTCGTGGCTCTGTACGGCTACGCAAAAGCGTACGGCCGTGTTTCCGTTTCGACAAAGTTAACATTTTCTTCAGCGTAATACTTTATAGTACAATTATTACAATCGTAGGTATAGGCCGAAATTGCATTTTCTTTCCCCCTTTAACGTTACAATCGCCAATACGAGGACTCGAATAATCCAACGTTTCGTTAATTAATGCTAAAAGCTGTACAAAAGAACATATTATTTATACAAAATGGCACATTTTGGTCGTTAAATTAATTTTATTCAAAATTAATGTGGTAAAGAGAAGTTCTCGAAAATAATGTACTAATGTTGTTGACTGTACTTTATTGATCTGTCAGAACAATATGAACAAAAGTCGCGGTGCGCAGGGAAAGGTAAACAACAAGACTCGGGCAGTAAACGAATCAACCGGTTGCAGTCGACAATTGCGACACGATGGACCTTTGTTCTTGACAATCGGTTCATGTGGCATTTTGAATTCGCAAACGGCAACACTTACACGTAACGACAGATGTGTATACCAGACATGGTTGCTTGCAAAAATTGCTCGCTACAGAAAATGGTATATATCTAGCGAAAATCGCGCGTTAGAAAGTGTTTTGGCATTGGTGATTAGGTCACCAGCTATCCTTCCCTCATCTCAGTCGGTGTCCTAATGTAGTTTATCTCGAGCTATTATCTACTTCATTTGTCACAATTACGGGCTCGTAACCCTTTTGCGCGCATGCTTGTAGCGATATCTCGATCGCATGCCATTAGCATGACAGTTCCCCTCTTACTCGGTCAGAGAACCGAACGGGGGAAGTGGCTGGTTATCATTGCCGGCTGGCTGGTTGGTATCGCTTTCCGTGTATTGCGGCAGGTCAGTAAATCCGAAACCGAGCTTTACGATTTGTTTACTCCGTACTGGGTTATGCGACTCAGTTATATAGCTGTAGGTATGCGCGAACCATGTGATCGCGGCTATAAACGCGTCTGTTATGCGCTCGTAAACCGTGAGAGCCCCACTCAACCATAGCAGCGTTTCCCCTTCCGCGGTCGAGCCTCGTAAAACGCTTGTTTTACGATTGCTGCCTATCGCTGACGATGTTGCCACCGTTCGCGTGGTGAAAGTATACAGAGTGTGTGTTATCTGAGTCGTCATTCTATCGCGTGTTCCTGTCCTTTCCCTTTCCGTTTTCGTATTCAATCCGGGGACGTCGACACATATGCACGGCCGACCTTGATGATGAGCAAGGTCACTGGGTTAATACCTATCGAGCGCATTTAACGGATCGGAGCAGATTTTTACTACACACCGGGGTCTGACCGACTTGAGAAAATATCTTTACGTTTCGCATCAGCATCGACGCGATGTTAATTCACCATTGGCGAACTTTAAGAAATCGATTAGTTCGGATGCAAGCTGATGCCCGCTTCACGCTGATCGAAGATACATTGAAAGGAAGAAAAATGTACATACATATATACACATATATATTGAAGAAAATAAATCCTTCGGATTTCACAATCGGGTGTATACGCCGATTGGTTATTTTCTCCTACAAAGGAAATAACGGGGGCCTGTCACATCTGTCCGTCTGATCTCAGTCATCGTCCGGCTCACAACTCTCATTGATGCCTGCTAATTCATCTTCTCCGTGTTCCGTGCAATTCACATCGCTACGGACTAATGGTTTCGTGCCACGATCAGCGCGCCTCTAGCGGTCGATGGTTCCATTCGACGAACTGCTCTATCGGCGATGACGCCACCACGTCTACGTCACGGCTCGGCGAAGCGTGGCTCTGACGTCATCGGTGGCATAGAGAAGGAGCGACGGCGGAGTGGATGTGACGTAACCGGACCTAGAGAGAGAGAGAGCGAAAGAGACAACCGGCGCCAGCCATACTGTTGGTAGGGGAAGGAAGAAAAGGGAGCCATTATAGAAGGGGCGCGACTAGGCTGAATCCTCCCCACCGACCCGGTCTGCCCACCGAGGGAACAGCTGTCAGCTGCGTGGAGTTGCGGACCCCATCTCATCCACCAACCCTCCTACATTCTATTCTATACGTATGTGTGTACGTTCGCGCGCATGTGTGCGTTGCGTGTCTCGTGTCCCAACCTAAACCCATCCAGGCACAGAATCAGCCGGGCTGCCACCCACCCCCGATGTTAAAATATTCCGGTGGAGCGAGCGAGCGTGCGCGCGCGGGACGGGAATAGCCTGAGAGAATTATGGCCGCCTCCGAGACTCAAATAACTCTTTAATCCACGGGCGCGTGTAGAGTTGCTCACGCTCCTTTCTACCGTATGCCGTTTATCCTGCTTCCGCTCTCTCGCGCGCACGTTGTAATTTTCTCGTCGCAGCCGTTGATCTGATTATCGCGCGGTTAGTGACGCGCCGGCCGTTTTCTTCACTGTCGAAATTTCACGTCGACTTCGGAGCATCCCCCGGGCCACTAGCTGCCTGCGGTGGCCCCATTTACCAGATTTCAGACACTTTCAGTCGCACGTGTCGTGTCTGAATATTCGTGTATCAGATTTCGGCAGTTGCCACTTTCCGGTGAAAAATATCTAACGATCGATCTATGTCGGAATAATACTAGGTATGTAACAATTGGAACGTTGTCCCAGTTAAAATTATGTCTGTCATGACTGAC